TATATAACCCTATTACGTCCAACTTTTAAGCCTTAAAACACTGTTGAAATTCAGAAGCTAGACAAAAAAGGAAAAAAAGGAAAAAAAGAATCTCATGAAAAGGGAAGGGAGACCACTGAGGTATAGAAAACAGGAATCAGGGGGAAGGAAGGGTCAGGTACAAGGGTAAAGAGGAAACCAAATTATGCTCCGGGCAGGTGAGAATGTACCACGAGGAAGCCTGTTACGCATGATTATAATTCCCAATAAAAACTTTATTTTTTAATAATGCTAAGATTCAACTACATCTATAAGCTGACTATTTCAGACACTCTGCACGTGATCAGAGTATAATTTATTTCTTCTATAATACCAGATGGATCTCAGAATCTTATAAGGCATCATCTTTGATCTCCAAAAGAAATTCTGCAAATGTACCCTAGCTTATTTTTGTTTGTTTTATTCATTTATTATTCCTTGTGGTGCCAAGGATTGAACCTAGTGCCTCACGCATGCTAGGCAAGCACTCTACCACTGAGCCATGACCTCAGCCCCCCCCCCCTTTTTTTTAGTATACTATTCAACACAAAACTAAATAGCTCATTATCAACACTCGTTACTATTACATATGGTATAATATGAAATCAACACCCAAAATGTCAGGATATTTTTAAATAACTTTTTTTAAGACAACAAAGTTGGGCCTTTATCCTCAAGAGCACGATACATAAAACTTTCAAGATACAGGAGTATTTTTCAGACTGTATGACATGATTCAATATAATCATGGTGAAGATAAAGGAAAAGAAGTTTAAAGAGCAAGTTAACAGCCCTGTACTAAGATAAGCCAATGGTTTTATTCCCACCGATTTCCACAAAAGGTTCAAGAAGAATTTAAAAAAAAAAAAAAAAAAAAAAAAAAATTCAAGGTTTTTCCATGTATTTTTCCACTGGTGATGACTTTGTATTTTTATTAAGGAGGTGGGGATGGACCAGGCAGCTCTCAGCTGACACTACCTTTCACTAAAAAACTCACTTCCAACTCCTAACTCGGCAATGAGAGTAATATGAGCATGCTCCTGTGGTGCAAATACAATAGTATCTACCCCCATTTCCCCTCCCAGGACTGAAAGCCTTCTAATAAAGGGTCACATGTAAGGTTCTCAGGAAGGACAAAATCTCAAAAATGTTGGGCAGCAAAAATTACTCTGATAAAAGCTGTTACTATTGACAGATTTCCGTCTTTTGCACAAAGACAAGGTGTCTAACACAAGAAGTGAGGCTGTATAGGCAGACACACCTGTGTCCAGTGTCAGTTCAAGCATGCGCTAGCTGGGTGAAGTGGCACAGTCCACCATCTTCTCCAATCTCCATCTCACTCTAAAACTGAGGTACCTCATGCCAGTTATGTCAGCCGATTCCTGCAATACACAGTAATGCCCAACACACGCTGCCTTACAACCAAATCAATGCCCCTCCTAGGAATGTATACAGAAATCCTGCCCCACTGAGAACTGCTCTGCCCAAGATAAGCATAACATGCCTTAAGCTTCTCAATTAGTTGCATTTTAGAAGCTGGAGTCTACTGCTTTCTCACTTTCCACAAAATTAACTTATCACTGTATTTTATCATAAAGGTAAACTCAACATATTAGTGTGAGACTGGGCGTGGTGGCACACACCTATAATCCCAGCAGCTCAGGAGGCTGAGGCAGGAGTATCCCGAGTTCAAAGCCAGCCTCAACAACAGCAAAGCACTAAGCAACTCGGCGAGACCCTATCTCTAAAATACAAAATAGGGCTGGGGATGTGACTCAGTGGTCGAGTGCCCCCAGTACTTAAAAAAAAAAAAAAAAAGTACGGGAGAGTACTCAAAAAAAATGATTAGTCTGAAATGTCAAGGTTGCCAACTCTTAAAGAATACTGACATAAGGAGGCAAAATCTGTCACTTTTTAAAAACTACATACACTCCTACTTTATGTGCAACAAGCATGATTTCTCTAAACACAAAAGGATTGCTCTAACATCCTTCAAATTCTGATGACTAGTGTGGTTCTTGGATGTTTTTCTTGTGCAGACTTTTCCATACAGATATCCCATTGACCTCAGTTAAAAAAATTTAATGGTACCTCAAGTTAAATGGTCTGAACTAAAGAACATGCTATATTAAATCACTCAATTTTAGTAACTTCTATACCCAATAAACTAGTATTTACTTGTTTATGAAGAGAAATTTTCCTTAATTCAAAAACACAAGATGCTACATTCTCACTTGACATCATTGCAAAGTATTCAGAAGATACAGGTCATAAAAATGCCTTTAAAAGACAGTAGGTCCTGCTACCATACTGTACAATGGAAAAATAATTATGAGCCCGAGATTTACTAAAATAATTTCTAGATTTGACATGGAATCTGAGGCTTTTCCTTTGCCAAAAACCAAATAAACTTGTCTGCTAGAATCCACGGCTAGTTCATTTCACATCTCTACACCTCCTAGACCTGTGACATGTGACAGGTTCAGAGAACATTTACTGAATGAATGAACTATATACAACTTGTACAAAAAAACTATCAAGAATTTTAACAGCCAGCAATTTAAAATGATTGTTTTCTGGAATGAAGGGATTCCAAAATGAACAATTCTGACTTAGCTAAGCTTGTCCACAAATATTTCATATGCATTGCACACGTTATTCTCTTGTTTATGAGGTAGGGCCTCAGTGTCCTTGAGATGGACTTTTTCCCCCCACTAACCAAATACGAGTACTATCATTCACAGCAGGTAACTAAAAACTACACCTAACACAGCTGTATCTACCACAGCCATATCCAAATGAGAGTGATCCCTGAAGTAGTCACCTTGGAAGACTGAGCCTTTATTTCACTACTGGGTTAGGGACTGGTGACAAATTCTTTAAAGTAATGTTGTTCAACACATCACATACCTCACTCACCAGATCTGGCCTCTGACCTGACTACTGTTAACACTAAATATACTCTCAAAATATGAAATTTGCCACCAATGACCACACCAAAAATAATTTGCCAGTATCTCCAAAGGAAAAATTCAAAAGCAATAACGAAAGCATTACAGGGAAAACAGTGGCACCCACAAAAGTGGTTTACTTGAAGAATACATTCCTGGAATGTGTGCATTCAGAGCATACTTCTTAAAAAAGCAATACTATCTGCAGGGGAAGTTTTACTACTTCTCATGATTCTAATTTAATCATGTTTCCATGCATCCACAATATCCTGAGTTTTAGGGACTAATATCATTTCTCCTCTAAGTTTCATTCTTTGAGATGAGAGGTAAGCAAGCACTGTTTTCTAATACTTAATCCAAAAGATATGAACCAGCTTTTTCTTCAAAACCAAAAAGTTCGAAAATAGCAGCCAACTTCCCTGAGCCTTTATGAAGTTTTACTATGAATTATTCTCAACTCACAGTAAAAGCAACTTCAAGTAACTACCCACACAACTGTTCTTTGCAAAATAGTGCAAAGATCTGTAACTGGCAATTGAGAGCTAATTTTGATTTAATTTTCTGTGTATTCTTTTCAATAATCTCTGTATACGTTATAAATAGGTACAAAATGTAGATTATGCATATCAATTACACATTTGCTATTTTAGGTCCACATTTTATTAACAAAGACAAATTATTAATTTCTATAAACTCTTACTACTCCATAATAATGAAACCAACACAGACATAGGTAATCCAGAACTCATTTATCTAAATAGCAGATCTACAGAGAGCTGTGGTGGAGCTCAATGCCTAGAATCAGCAAGTTCGAGTTCAATTCTAAGTTCCACCACAAAAAAAAAAAAAAATAATAAGATTTCATTCCAAGTTCCTAACAGAAGTGATCTGGTTTGTATTTCCTAGGCCTCGAGCACCTGGACCAGTGGAGGAAGCAGTCCTGCAGTCTGTTACACATCAGCCACCTCAGAAGGAAAGACGGACTGTGAGCGTCTGCAGCAGGCACAGTCAACAGTATGATTATCGCAAACAAGTGTAGATAATGCAAGTATGTAAGAGTAACATACTCATCAGCAAAAAAGAAAATTTTATATTCAAACAACTTTTTAAATATTCCCAAATAAAAAATCAAAATTATGTGTGCAAAGCAACGATTAACATTCTTAAACATATGAGGACTGTTCTTTTATACAGAAGACAGCCATCATCAGACCAAACAAAGGGACTAAATTTAAATCAAAATATATTAAGTCAACATGTGATATCTTTTTAATGTATTAGGCTATTTTCTTAATAATAAAACCATACCATTGGAATGTGTTAAGGCATGCCCAGAGTAAAAACTACTAATGAATACAATATTTTTTTTGTTTTTGTTTTTTGGGGTTTTGTTGTTTTGTTTGGCAGTAATGGGGATTGAACCCAGCCCCCAGCCAGGCACACTCTACCACTGACCTACATCCCCAGATCCTTTTATTTTGTCCTAATCACAAGGAATCAGACAAACTCGGAACACTCTACTAAATAATAGGTCAGTTACCTTAGAAGTGTCAAGGTAATGAAAGAAGAGGAAAAACAAAAATGGAGAAACTGTCACAGATTCAAAAGACCAAGGAGACATGACAATAATGTAAGGTGGGACCTGAACTAGACCCTGGAACAGAAAAAGTAGTTAAAGGAAAAACTGGTAAGACTCTAAAAGGCTGTGCAGTTTAGAGAAGAGTACTGCAGGAGTGTTAATGTCCTAGTTTATTAATTACATAACAGTTATGTAAGGTGGCAACACTAAGAGAAGGTGGGTGAAGGGCACACGGGAGCTCTCTGCAGCTTGCTACTTCTCAAATTCTAAACTTACTTCAAAATAAATGTATATATTTTAAAGTAACTTTAAAGATCCTTAGTTTTCTAGGTATAGTAGCTATCATTATTTTGCCTTAAAATCATTACGTTATGCGAAAATACCTGTCGATTGCTGCAACCAGACTCTTTGAAACCTGTAACAGACTTTTAATACATTACAGAACACATTACCTGTAATTTTATAGCCATAAGCAGCTAGCTGTCCAGCCATATATTCTCCATCTGAATTATTATGTGAGCAACCCCATGTTCGTATCCAAATTTTCTGTATGCCTGGAATAGTGCTGTTTTAAAAAAATAAATAAGCAGTCTCATTAAGTGTTTTTAAAAAAAGGTAATGGATGATTTCAGAGCATATTACACAAAAAAGCAAACTACAATTAATTCACTGGCTGTTCATTAAATGCACCAATTAAAAACCTGTTACAAGACGACTAATCAAGATAAACCAACCACAAAAGTTCAAGAATCTCTACGTTAAAAAAAAAAGTGTTTGAATTTTTTTTAAATATCTTTTAGATGTTGATGGACCTTTTATTTTATTCATGTATTTATATGTGGTGCTAAGAGTCGAACCCAGGGCCTCACGCATGCTAGGCGAGCACTCTACCACTGAGCCACAACCCCAGCCCCTCTGATCTGTATCTTTTTTTTAATCATTATTTTTTAGTTGTACGTGGACATACCTTCATTTTATTTTTGTGTGGTGCTGAGGATCAAACCTAGTGGCTCACGCATGCTAGGCGAGTGCTCTACCTCTGAGCCACAACCCCAGCCCCCTGAATTGTGCTTTTAAATCCTACTACTGACCATACTACCATTAATTTAACTTCTAAAAAAATACACACAATAACAGCACAGAAACTGAATCTAGCAGCAATAGCAAATGAAATAATATATCTTTTCAGACTCCTACATATTAGCTGCAATCATTATCTATTTTAAAAATGAACAATTTAATCAAAATTAAAAACTGTCACCCTACACCATTATTAAAAGTATTCCATCTAGGTGTGCTGGCACACACCCATAATCCCCAGCGACTTGGAGGCTGAGGAGTACAGGTTCAAGGCCAGCCTGGACAATTTAAGAAAACCCTGTCTCAAAATTAAGAATAAAAAGGGACAGGGTAGAATGCAGCTCAGTGGTAGAATGACCCAGGTTCAATCCCCCATAGTGCAGTTTTTAAAAAGTACTCCATCTATAAAAATAGAGTTTAAAATGTAATATTTTTAGAAAGGAAAAAAAGAACTTATGTTACTTTAATAATTTCAGGTAAAAAGAAACTACCTTAAGGATGTGTTCAGGACAAATATTATAAACTTCAGTCATAAAATAGAATTTATAAGTTTAAAAATTGCTTAAAAGCTTAATGTTCCAGACAAAAATAATCAACTATATTAAAACTCTCTCAACAATACGCTGAACAATTATAGAGCTCCTTAAAATCTTACAATTTGGCAATCCTTCTTGGCAATGTTGCATTAGAATCTTACTGACCACGGTCCCACCGTAACAGTGGAAATGGTAATAACTCTTGTGCCCAATGCCTTAGGCTGGTCTGTAAGTATTCACTATCAAAGATCCAAAACACCTCATAAGAATCACAAATCTCAATAAAAATTTTAATTTACAAGTACCACAGAATTACATACCAATTGCAGTGAAAGAGGTTTCTATTGTTCTGGGCCCTGCCATCCAAGAACATCCAACTGGACATCCTTTTCTTTAACCAATCACCTTGCCTTGCCAAATTCAAAGCCACTGAAATGGGGGGTGGGGGTGGGGGGACCCTCATGTTTCTACCAAAAGTCCAAAGAGCCCAAAAAAGAAACCCTATGCAGATCACACAGACTAGTCCTGCCAGCATCTTGCCAGAAATTAAGCTGCACACAATTCCAGGAAAGCTTACCTGTCACTTGGCGGGCCGTTCTCTTCCGAGAACATCTGGGTATTGCGCCTTCGCACTTTCGGAACAACCTGCCTTCTTGAAGAATGTCTGTCTTGTGGCTTTGAATCTTCCTGGGACACAATGTCTTCTATGTCATCCAGCAGGGTATCACAGGATGCAGAAGGCATCTTTTCTATCACAAAGTCATAAACAGCACAAGCTTATGAAATCTACTTAACACGACATCACCTATAAAAAATTTTTCAGCAAACTAATCAAGCCTGTTAAGTCAATTTCAAGTTTAGAGAAAATGCAGGGGATCAACACAAGGAGACGATTAGAAGTCACACTGATAATGGGACATTCCAAGATTCAACAGAACTATTTCCTCAACAAAGCAACTCCATGGGGAAAAAAGTAAGGCAGGACATCTTCAAGATTAAAGGAAAGGAGCCAGGCATGGCGGTAAGTGCCCATAAGCCCAGCAGCTCAGAAGGTGAGAAAGGAAGATCACAGAGCTCAAAGCCAGCCTCAACAAAATTGAGGGGCCAAGCAACTGACCAAGACCGTCTCTAAATAAAACACAAAACAGAGCTGGGGATGTGGCTCAGTGGTCCAGTGCTTGGTACCACCTCCCCCACCCCCACAACAAAAAAAGATAAAAGGAGATTTAAAAGATTTAAAAGCTCAAGACCTCCACCAGCTTAGGAAGGCGACCATTGTTGATAATAAGTACCATGGCCTCCAGGGTTGGAAAAACTCAGTGGCCTTCAGGCCAAGCCTCGGCAGCTTCATGTTGTGTCCCTGGGGGTTGCCAGTCCCTATGGCGACTGTGGCTAAGACAGGCACATGCAGGTGTCTACAGAAATTATGACTGCATGAAAGGCGATGAGGAAGGCCACTGTCTTTCAAGGTGAAGAATGATTTTTAAATATAAAAAATTTCTTTGAATCGAGTTCCATGGAAGTTTCTCACTGACCTGGGTCAGCTAAGAAATCATTCCTCTAATTTTTTAAAAAAAGGTCTAACAACTAATGCAACTCATGTTCTTATGTTATCCAACTATGATAAACTTTGGGAACTAATTAAAAAATCAGAACATGAGCTAGATATTAGATGAGGATATTATTATAAATCATTATTGTTCTTATGTTCAAAACTATTTTCTCTTTAGTTATAGTTGGGTACAATATCTTTATTTTACTTATTTTTATGCAGTGCTGAGGATCGAACCTAGGGTCTTGCACGTGCTAGGCGAGTGCTCTACCGCTGAGCCACAACCCCAGCCCTCAAACTATTTTTATTGATACATATTGAACACTTCAAGGTGAAATACCATGTTTATAATTTATTTTAAAACATCTCAGGAGGCGGCTGGGGTGGTGGCTCAGTGGTAGAGCACTTGCTTAGCACAGCAGAGGCACCAGGTTCAACCCTCAGAATCACGTAAAATTGTGTTGTATTGTGTCCATCTACAACTATATGTTTTTTATATATATATATATATATATATATATATATATATATATATCCACCTCAGATTTTCCTCAGGGTGGTTAAAAAAAACAAACAAACAGATTAGCCAGGGGTATTGGCATATGCCTGTAATCCCAGCAGGAGGCTGAGGAAGGAGGATCACAAGTTCAAAGCCAGCCCCAGAAGCTTAGTGAGACTCTAAGCAACTTGGTGAGGCCTTGTATCAAACAGAAAAAAGGGCTGAGGATGTGGCTCAAGTAGTTAAGTGCCCCTGGGTTCAATCCCTGGTACCAAAAAAATAAAAGATTAAAAACATTTACAACTCTTAAAACTAGAAAATAGGTAGGTTTCTTCTGTTAAATGTTATTGTACTTTTTATACCTTTATTTCATTTATTTATTCTTCTGTGGTGCTGAGGATGGAACCCAGGACCCTCCACATGCTAGGCAATCACTCTGCCACAAAACTACACCTGCAGCCCAACAACAGCTATTTGGTATTCATTATATCATGACACCCGATATAATGAATACCAAATTTTTCAGAATTAAAGAAGATGTGGACACAGCTTCCAGGTAGACACACATTCCTCACACAAAGCACAACTTTGGAATCATACGTAAAAGAAAACATGAAAGGAGAAAGAAGGCTAGAGACCTCAGAACCCAGGAAAAGGTCAGCGAGTTCTTTGGGTTCCCTTTTGCCTCCTATATCCAAACTCGGGCCGAAGCAGCCAGCAGTCCAGGATGCCCACAGGTGCAGACAACGCAGGTCCAACAAGTCGGCCTCCCATCAGGAACCAGAAGCTTGGATAATCGCCGCTCTCCTCCCGCCTCAGCCCCACACACGCACTGTAGTGCCACCCGCAGGCAGTCATAGGGTCAAGTGGGGAGCCGACTTCCCCCCTACAAGATGCCCTGACATGCCCCACGAGAGTAGAGTCACAGAAGGCCAGGCAGGGACCCCGACTTCCGAACCAACCAACAATGAGGCCCACAGTTGTCAGTGTAGACCAGACTGAAATGCGAGTCTGGAGCCCTTCACAGGGTCAGCGCAGCAGACAGCCCAGGAGGCACACGGCAGCACTAGTCTCCCTCTATGGTGAGCAAGTGGAAGCACAGGGGCTAATCTGCCCACAGAAGACAAGGGCTCCCAATCTGGATGCGTCCACGCCCACCCACCACCTGCTGACCTGTTCTCAGCGGTGTCACTGGAGCAGCATCCAGAACCTGTGTTCTCAGGTGCCTCAAGGCTTCCTGATGAAGGTCCCTTCTCTTCACACCAGATTCCCATCTTTCCATTCATATCACTCAACTAACAGTGGCTTCCAGCCAGGCTCATTTTGTGCCCTTGTAAAGTGTTCTTTACCACAAATTGTTTGTCTGATGGGCAGCACATGAGTGCTTGAAACTCATCTAGTTTTATTGTTAGTAAGAAATAACCAGAGTATGAATGTCCACATGGAGGCACGTGCCGACATTCTAGTTATCCTAAACCACATTAAGTGAGACATCAGCCAAGCAGGATCATCCTCTAAAGTTCAACTGATCTCAGAAGTATGAGCAGGCACAGTAGACCAGACTATTGATTCAGATGAATAAACAGTAAAAGCTTATTATTGGATTTGGGATGACTTGTTACACAGCAATAGCTAACTGATACAGCAGACTTCTTGAAATAGTGTTATTACTTAAGGGGAAATAAAAGTGAAACAGATTCATAACCCAAATGTCCACCGTTAGGCCTGGATGTAATCGACATATATAATCCATGGTCAAAGTAGGACTATCAATCCCAGCCCTCTCCTTCCCTAAAGCAAGAACAAAGCACAGGACCCAAACCCCACTCTGACAGTCACCTGTCTCCTTGGCCACAGTGATCGGCTCAGGCTTGGTCAGGACAAGCCCAGCCAACCAGAAAGGACTGCAAGGTCTTCTGAGCCACAGCTAATAGAAAAGATGGCTTCTCTACTCCTTCAAGTGACTAAATGGGAAGGATGTCAACTCTAGGATCCCAGGGGCCATCTTGCCTGTCACAAGGAGGAAGCCTCGAGAAGGAACAAAACCAAATAGGAGCAAGGGAGAGAAACAGCCGTACTGATGCCATTTGAGCACCTGGACCCAACCAGTGCTTGAACCCTGGTGCAGCCCACTTCTGCCCAACCACGTGAGCCGCTAAATTCCCTGGGGCTTAAATTAGTTTGAGTTGGGCTTCCTGGTCTTGCAGACAAGAGCCCAGGTACAGCCCAGGTAAAGTGAAATGAACCAAGTTTCAGGCTTTTTTATTTAATATTTTTTAGTTGAAGATGGACACAATACCTTTATCTTAATGTGGGCTAAAGATCGAACCCAGTGCCTCATGCATGCTAGAGGAGTGCTCTTCTCCTGACCATAACCCCAGCCACCAGTTAGTCTTTACCAAGTTACTCTTGAAGTAACTCTGAGGGAAAAAAGTCTTCAGCGGAATTTGGGAAATTCTGCCTCCTTTTATATGCACTGTGTACTGATTAAGAACTGTGGAGAGCTGCAGTCAGGAAACTTCAAACTCATTATCTTAGGAATTTTCTAAGATGTCCTTTCTTACAGATCTCCTTAGATGGAAAGATGGCACTGAAACAGCAGGCCCGACTGGCGCAGCCCCTCCATCCCCTGCCCAGACGGTGGCCTCCTGCCTTTACGGGGACGCAGGCTCTTCACCCCAGCACTCTCCCTTCCAACCGCTACTCCTGAAGGCAATCCTTCTACTCTCTAGGTCAGCCTGGCCTCCGGCCGCGCTCCCTCTTCCCCATCACTGATGGCCTCCATGGAATCAAGATCTAGCGAGAGACACTGTTTCTACTGCTTCTCTCATTTAAAAGATCCCTCTCATGAAGCCACTCTTCCTCTCAGCTCACCTTTAAAGAGAAGCTCCCTGTATTTACTGTCTCCAATTTCCCCCTCCCATTCTCACCAGCCAGACTTTTACACCCACCACTCCACCAAAACAGCCCTCAGGAAACCCTCCAATGATACAGACCATGACCAACACTCGGCCGTCTGATGAGACGCCATTTGTGGCATCTGCAATGCCGACCACTCTCACCTCAAAGCCCTCTTCTCCACGGCCCCAGGATGCCCTTTCCTCATTCTCCTCCTCCAGGGGCTTGCTGGCTCAGTCCCTGTCCCCACTGCGAAGCCCATGGCTCCCTGACAGGAGCTCTTCTCTGTTTACAGGCACTCCCTGGTGATCTCACCCCGTCCTGTGGCCTTGAAATACCAACTGTGTGCTTATGTAACAGCCCGCTCTTCCGACTCAGATGTCTGACCGCCTGCTGGACATCCCTGCCTGAATGTCTATCAGCCATTTCAAAGTTCAACACTCAGCCAGAACTTCGACTCTCCCAGCTTCCCCCACCCCAAACGGCCCCAACCTCCTCATACCAATACGATTGTCCGACTCCTTCCTTTCCCTCACCCCAAGTCCAATCCACCAGCAAAATCCTATTGGTGTTACCTTTAAGTATATTCAGAATCCACCTGTGATCAGAGCCCTGTCACAGTCGCTCCTGCCTGGAGGTCTCTTCCTCCACAGCCATTCACTCCAGCCCTTCAGGTACTTGCTCAAACGTCACCAGTGAGGCCTTTGCAAGCAGCCCTTGCCAAATTCCCATCCCTCCCAATCCTTTCTTTAACCACATACTTCATCACCTGCTTACGTGCTTTTGCTGCCTCTCTGTTCTAGAATATTTACTCGTGGGGGTAAGGGCTTTTGCACGCTTTGTTCACAGCTTTATCTCAGGAGCCTGCAACTATATCCAGCACCAGGTTCTAAATATTTTAGTGTAGACAACAGTTTTTTTACAAGATGTGGAGCTGGCTACCTCCCTCTTCCACCTCCCACTATTTCAAATTTTGGGGGAGGTCCTGGAGATTGAACCCAGGGGCGCTTCCCAAGCCTTTTAATTTAGGGACAGCGTCTTGCCAAGTTGCTAGGTGCCTCGTTAATCTGCTGAGGCTGGCTTTGAACACATAATCCTCCTGCCTCAGCCTCCCAAGTTGCTGGGAGGACAGGCATGAGCCACCACGCCCGGCTTGGGTATTCTGAGTAAGCCAAACTCCTCCGATTCCGAGGCCTTCACACGTGTCCTCCCTCCCCTGGACATTCAGCCCCCGGGTCCCTGCATGGCTTGCTGCCCGCTTCTCTATCGCTGATACCTCCTCGGCCTTCACTGGCTGCCTTCCTAAACACCTGCACCGCCCAGGCGTCCTCACGCTCCCACCCCCCCACCCCCGCTTGTTGCACCATGCTTCTTCACGGCACTCACCAACACCTTCCACAGGCCTCGTGTCTCATTACAGCTCACGTTCCATAGACACAGGTGTCGCCTCTTTTCCACCACTCTCTCCAACACCTAAGGACGCTGAGCACACAGCAGCATGCAACAGTCATTACCTGACTACCAAGCTTGCTTAAATAGAGGGCAAAGTCATGCCTTTCAGAGTTTCTGAGAACTACTGAAGGACCACGAATAACCAAATGATAAATTAAAAGCAATACTTCTGTAAAAAGTATACAATGTTTACATCCATACACAACTGTGTACAGATCCACCGAAGGGAAACAGAATGGAAAGAGGAGTGGAAGGACTCTACTGCAGGAGACACGCCACGCCATTACAGACTTAGGGAAGCAGGGAGTATTGCTAAGCTCCTGACGTTCCAGAACTGGAGTCCAGAGTGGAGCTAAAATCAGAAGGCAGGCTTCCTCGAAATACCATGCTCTTCCCCTATGGCTTGGCCTCACCAGCAAGAACAATGCAAGAATCTAATGTATCACCAAGGGGCAACACGTGCCAGAAAATGGGAAAAGGCAAAACAGGCGATTCACTTAAATACAGACAGCGGGACACATGGGTGGACACCTGTAATTCCCCAAAACTTGGGAAGTTGAGGCAGGAGGATTGCAAGTTCCAAGCCGGCCTAGGCAACTTGGTAAGACCCCATCTCAAAATATAAGAGGGGCCAAGGATATAGCTCAGGAATAGGAAGTCTCAGACCAGGTTCCCAGATCACAAGAAAAAAAAAACAGCTAGTAAAAATGGGAAAGTATATACAACCGAACTAAATGCTGATTGTTTCAATACTTGATATTTTTCCTCCACTTCACAGATTACACTGACAAAAGGCCTTTACCTGAAAACATGTATAAAATGGGTTTCAAAGGGTCTGCAGGGCAACTCAGCAATCCATTTGAAAGTTTGAAACTTGTGTATCTTTTGACCCAGCAATTCTATTTCCGAAATTCCCTCTAGCTGGGGACAAAGGAGATGACTATAATGTGACGTAGAGGTTCCTAAACCTGGCTGCATATCATGAACACATACACAATCTCTTTCATCACCATGAGTAAGTGGAAGTTTCTACCTCAAACAAACTGATAGAAGGAATTAAGCCCTCAAGAAAAATTTTAATAAGTAACAAAAATGAAAGTTTGGGTATAAAAGGAAAGGAAGACAACATTCGAATAAGGCAACAGAATCATAAGAAATTTTTTTCTCAAAGGCAGAGGCAATCAAGTCTGATAAAGGGAATAAAGTCAGTCAGTGAAAAGGAGAAATACTGACAACAGACACTATCCTAGAACAGCGTTCACTTACCTGGGAGAGTTATTACGGAGCCTTCAGAACATCACACACCCAGGCTCCGGTCTGACTCAGAATCTCCAAGAAGAGAGGCACAAGAACTTAAAAGCCGCCCAGGTAAGGCTGGGGGTGGAGCTCAGCGGCCACCCAGGCTCAGCACACTGGAGGCCCGGGGATGAATTCCCAGCATGTGGAAAAAAAAAATCCCTCCCAGATGCTGCTCCTAATCATCCCACGTGGAAAAAAAAAAAAAAATCCCTCCCAGATGCTGCCCCTAATCATCCCTAACTGAGAACCACATCAAGGCAGGCACACTCCCATAATCCTAGCTGCTTAGGAGGCTGAGGCAGGGGGATCTTGAGTTCAAAGCCAGCCTCAGCAACTTAGAGAGGCTCTAAGCAACTCAGTAAAAAACTGTCTCTAACTATTTAAAATATAAAAATAGGCTGAGGACGTTTCTCAGTGGCTAAGCACCCCAGGTTCAATCCCTGGTACCAAAAAAAAAAAAAAAAAAAAAAAAAAACCCACACAGCTCTCCTTCAGCAATGGTAGAAGCCCTTTGAGTGTTCATTCTAGCCACCTGAGTAGCTTTTGAAAATTAGCAACAACTTGTGTTTAATCCCCAGCACCAATAAAAAAGACAAAAAGAAAATTACCAACAACTAAGCCCAAGACGTGTCCCGAGGTTCAGGGAGGGGTTTTATGGAGTAGAGGAGAACACAAAGTGAACAGGCAGCACCTGGCCCCCTGCCCGATTTCAGGCAAATCCTTTCTAAGGATAAGCCCAGATCAGTGGTGCACACCTGCCATCCCATCAACAGAGGATGAAGCAGGAGGATCGCCAAACAACCCAAATTATAAACTACCCAAAATAAATTATAGGCGAAGGATCTGAGCAGACATTTCCCAAAAAAAAAAGATACACAAATGGCTGATAAACACATGAAAATATGGTAATCCCGTTAGCCACTAGGCAAATTAAAACCACAATGATCAACCACTTGGAATAAAATGAACAGATTAACAATATTGTCAACACTTGAGTAAGATCACCCAGAGAGAAAAACAGAGGTAGAAGGGGTACGGAAACAAACCTCAAGGAACTCCAAATTTCACTGTCAAGCAGAGCAAAATGAGCCTATAAGAGAAACCAAGCAGCAGCTACCAAAGAAGGTAAGCATGCCACAGAAAGGCAAAAGAAGAGAACATGTGAAGGAGGTGAATATGGTCAACACTGTTGAATAAAAATGAAAGAGTAAAATAAATGAAAATGTCCCTTGGACTTAGTGATATAGAAATCATCGTGTTTTCATGAAATGATGGTAAATTACTAAGAAATTGGGCTACCTTTCTGCACTGCTAATGTGCAATATGGCACTCAAACATAAAAGATTCAGAGTAAATCAGTACCTTAATTATTTGCAATTAGTCTCAAGTCCTCTTGAAAGATGAGTCTGGAAAATAAAAACTGATTAGAAAATGCAAGTCCTCAATACGCTCACAAAACCACTGTAAGGACTCTTCAAAACTACCTAAAAGGAATCACGCTGCCTAGGAAGGCTTTCTGTACAGCGGGGTTAATGAAGCTGCACTCCTGGCTTGCTGCTTACAGAGGCTGCCTGTGCAGACACCTGCCTACCTGCGAGCCGCCGACATCTGGCCCTCTGACAAGATGCTACCCACTGCTGCAAGACCTCGGGCGGTCGCAGTAACCCACAACTACACACAGGAAGCAGGTACCGACCAGGCGTGCAGATCGCCTTCCAGATCACACCAAGGAGACGTGTCCCGAGGTTGGGGGGTGGGTGGGTATGGAGTAAAGGACACAAAGTGAACAGGCGGCACCTGGCCCTCTGCCCGACTGAGTCCAAATCCTTACTAAGGATAAGCCCAGATCAGTGGCGCACACCTGTCATCCCCGCGACAGAGGCTGAGGCAGGAGGATCGCCAAGTTCAAGGCCAGACTTGCAGTTTGGCGAGGCCCCGTCTCACCGTAGGAAACGGACAGGCTGGGCTGGGGCTCCGGGGGAGCGCCCGGGTGTCGACTCCGGTCCCCGGCGGGTCAGCCGGACACCTGCGAACGTCCCGTCGCCCACGAATCAGCCACGCAGACAGTGGGAGGACAAATGAAGCAGGCCAACTGCGGACCCGGGATCTAGATGGCCAGACGCGCCGGCCACCGCTGCAGCCAAAGACCCGATCCCCGCCGACCCCGGTCCCAGCTGGTGGCAGAGACTGAGAGCGATCGGCGCGACCACGACAACCGCGGAAACGAGGCTCTGCCACAGAAGTGGTGCAGGTCACATTCTGACCTCAGTAGGGAATAACACACCTTTCCAAAGTGGGGGAAATCTACCCGCCGCTTTTCCGGAAACTGCACGGGGTTTACAAGGAGCGCGCCATGACACTTACGTCCCGCCACGTTTATGTACGCATGCTCGGCGACGGTGGCCCTGAGAGGTCAAACTGCGTCACTGCTGAAAGCGCGACTTCCGGTTGAACTCTACTTAGTAAAGCTTGACTTTCCAATTCCTTTGGTTGCAAGAGCCAAAATAAGTCCCCAAGTCCTCAGAGTTCTTAGAATCGCCGACTGACTAACTCCCGAGCTCTTGTAACTTGTCAGGAACTCTGCGAAGCACTTTACATAAACATTATCTCTCAATTTATTTATTATTAGTGTTCCTGGCTTACACCCACAGTTCCTCTACCAGAGTGATGGCTCCCTAGGCCCAATCCACTTCTGACTCCCAGAGAAACTGCTGTCCTCACTGTATTTTGGTAGTTTTCCCAAACTTTGGTAGGAAGGATAAAGAAGAGTTGGAAGATTAAATCTAATATGAATCATTTAACACCCAAGCAAGGGTTGAGAGGTTTTGTTTTGGTTATCTTTTGGTTTTGTTTTGGTTTCTTTACTTAGAAGGCAGTTCCTACGTCCCTCCAATGGAGTGTACTGATTCTGACCTTTATATAAGTTATCTCACTTCATTAGTATTTGCCCAAGACAGTATATTTATTCGACTTTGTTTACCAGAAAAGTTTCTCCAGCTTAAAAAGTGGAGGAAGCCGACTGTTAACAGGAGTCAGAAATCGTGTCCTCTGCCCCACTTTGAGTATCATCACGATTTGAGGCAGTTATTTTGCAAATGTCTCTCCTAGTACGTCTTTCCTAGTATTCCTCATCTACTCCAAATGCCACCTTTTGCTCATCCATGCCCACAAGACAATTGTGACTTGGGACCCACCTGTAGCCCTTACCTGCTAGAATTATGCATGTGTAAATTACTCTGGCTCTTTCATTACATCAAAAGTGGGCACTGGCTTATCTTGGTTGTAATTCCACTGCCTAACACATGACCTTGGATTTATAGCCTCTCAATAAATATTTGTTGAATGAATGAATGAATGAATGAATGATTCTACTTCTTTTCCCCAAGATCTAATTGAATTGGGTTAAAAAAAAATTGTACTGAGTGTGCGCCCCCTAACTGCAAGCACTGTGATAGGCTTTGGAGCTACAGAGAAAGAAAGAGACTTCCATGGTGGTTGTAGGCTACTGGGAAGAAGCAGTTTTGGTAGAGAGTGGCAATCACTGTGAAAGAGCTGCGCACAGGACAAAGGTGTAGTGAGGGAGATAGGCAGATTCACTCCAGGATGGGGGAGAGCAAACCCAAGGAGGCCTGGAACTGTGGACGGTTCAACACTATAAAGCAGAACGAGTGAGACAGGAGAGGTCAGCTGGAGAGGGGCAGTGCAGGAACAGATTCAGGTGAACCTTGTGCAGTAAACCATGGACATTAGCCCTAGTCGTGGATTTATTAGGCAGCATGCAGTATCTGAGCAAATTATTATCTCAGGAGAACAGGTTTGAGGACAGTACTTCAGGCACAGAGGAATAGCGAAGGCCTAAAGTGGGCTGTTAACTGTGAGGAGTGGGGAGGGAGGATGGACCAGGAGAGCTACTGAGGAGGTAGAATCAGCGAGACTTAGTGATCTCTGGTTGTAAAAGGAGAAGATGCAAGAATGTCTCCAGGTTTTTGGCTGAAGCAACCAACACAGATTCCTCCTCCACGAAATCTGCTCTTCAGATACTTTTAGTCTAAATCATTTGAAAAGCCAGGGACCCTGCCTCTAGGAATCTATCTTACAGAAATGACATATGTTCCAAGTGTTTTTGAAGCATCTCTTATAATAGCAAGAGTAGAAACCCTCTCCAGCTCCTCAACAGAGGATTGCCTACATGCATTTATAGTATCTGCACAGCTGTTGGGAAAGAATGAGATGCTTTTAATGTGCGACACAAAATAATTTCTTAAATGGAAAAAGCAACTTGCAAGAAAGGGAGTGCAGGGTTGTATATAGTAATTGAAGTAAATATACGCATTATTTCTGGCAGGATATATAAGTAACTGGGTATGGGGTTGTCCCTGAGATAAAGCACTAAGAGAACAAGGTAGCTCAGAGGAAATGTTCTTTTCCTTCCTTTATCATTTCATACCTTTTATGTTTTGCAAATGTGTTATTTATCCAAAAAGTGAATGATAAAAAAACAGATTTTATAAGAAAAATTTAAATAACATTTGATAAATTAAAATAACATTTAACTTTACAGTAATATTTAAGTTTTAAATCTCCAATTCGGTGAGATAAATTTAACATAAAATTTATCATTTTAATTATGTTAAGTAGGCAATTCGGTGCCATTAAGTACGTTCATTTTTGTGTAACCCTCACCACCATCCATCTCTGGAACTTCTTCATCTCCCCACCCTTCTTATTTCTCCCTCTCCCCAACTACTGGCAAGTGCCCTTCTGCTACCTGTTTCTATGAACTTGACTACTCTAGGTGATTCATATAACTGGACTCGAACACTATTTGTCCTTTTGCAACTGATTTATTGCACTCAGTCTAATACCTGTGAGGTTCGTTCATGGAACATGTCAGAATGTCCGTCCTTTTTAAGGCTGAATAATATTCCATTGCAGGTATAGACTACATTTTGTTTAATAAATTTTAAACTTTCATGCTTTATTTCTCAAATCAGATTATAAAATAGATACACCAAAAATAATACACCTCATTTTATCGTTGTTTTCTCAGCCCACAATTTTACACTAATGCTTACTAAATGTTTAGCAGTGGGCAAGCCAGTATAGACAAAGACACATTAAAATGCAAATGAACCTATAAAATAATGGGGAAAGCTAAATTTGGGGAACACTTTTAAATGTGTGCTGGTAACCATGTTAAGCCCTCTTTGCGGATTACCATCCTTACTCATCCCTAGAGCTCTGAAGTAGCCCTACTTAGGTCTAGTTCTTATATCAGGAATACTGTCTTCTTAGCATCCTCTCTCTTAGGCTGTGCTGTCAATTGTTTTAACAATTTCAATTGTTTTAACAATTCTATGTGAGTACTTCACAAGAAGCTGTGTACTTCCATTAACAGTAATGAAAATTTTCAAATAAAAAAAATATTGGCAAGAAAACAGAAAGGAATGATAGAGAATGTGTGGAATAAAACCCATATGCCTTCAGAATGATCTGATATTTTATATTAGTCTGACAATGAAAATTGAAGGGAATTGTGAGCAATAATAAAATTAAAGAATCCTTACTATCTCAGACACGAATCAAGCAAGAATAAAATAAGAAAAAATTTAAAGTAGGAACATGTATTTAGATTTTGCTTATGATTTGAGCAATTAGCCATTGTACTTATGAATGTATGCCAATCGATATCCTTTTATGATGAATAATTCATGTGTTTAATTCACTATTGAAAAATGATTTTTTAAAAGTTAACATGAAATTTTCAGTGTGGAATATTAGATACACAGTAGAATAAGATTTAAAATAGGTTAATCTAGTTCTTCTGTCAGAGATGGAAAGAGTAATAATGCTGTTGTTAAAGTTCAGTAAGTCACTGTGCATGCGCAAGTATATTGTTATTTATATTAGCTTTTCACTGCATATGACAAAAATCCAGCCCTAATGTTTTTTCCATGCTAGAGACAGACCCAAGTAGGCTATCTCTGAGCCACATGCTACCACCCAGCTCCAATTTTTCTTATGTAAGAGGTGAGTTTGGCACATGTCAATCAGTGGTACATTACATAGTGATTTGAATTCAATCTAATAAATTGGGAGTCAGAATAAAGTTCCTCACCTGGACACCATACAACTAAAGTAGTTTTTCTAGGAGGATTTATCAAGTGTGTTACACAAATCCAAGAAGAAAGATGTTGATGGTAAAGACAGAAGAAAATAAAGAAGAATGTAATAGCTAGGTCAAAAGAAAAATGAATGAAATGGATGAATGCGTCAATGTGGAGGGTAAAAGAGAAGGCTGCTGCTGTTCCTAAATAAACTGATGGAAGGTAATAGAAAAGCTTGACATGAAATCGCCTCCTTTGTATGTGCGCCGAGTATGCTCCTTGTAATGTGACCACTAGGGGTCAGAGTGCTATACTTCTAATATCAGCCATCCTATCAGTTTATGCAAACCTGACTGGTTCAATTCCATAATTAATTCTATCTTTCACTCTCCCACTCTCAGTACAAGTGGTGTAGACGCTGGACAAGTGGCCCGTGGCCCAGGACCTTGCAATGAGAGCACCACATTCTCTTGCCAGAGGGCATGTAACCCACACCAGACCAGAGCACATACTGGGCTCCACATCAACTGCAAGAATCCGAGGCTGAAGTTTCCAGGCCTGCATGAGGAGGACTGATGCCTGACACCAAAGCTGTTTCAGAGGAAAGCAGGGGTGACCACGAGAGAGAGGTCAGCGAGTTCCAAAGGCGACCCACCACGGCCTCTGTACCCAGCGTACCCGGAGCTGAGCGCTTCAGTTTTGTGAATAAAAGTCTCCACTTTTCTTCCCTTAAGCTAATTAAAGTGTGTTTTTATGATTTTCAACCAAAAGAGTTCTGGCTAAAGCTCCTATTCTCTCAAAGATTAAAAATAACAATATGAGTCAGGTGCGGTGGTGCACGCCTATAATCCCAGTGGCTCTGGAGGCTGAGGCAGGAGGATCCCAAGTTCAAAGCTGGCAACTTAGCAAGGCCCTAAGCAACTTAGCAAGGCCATGTCTCTAAATAAAAGATAAAAAGGGTTGGGGAAGTGGCTTAGCAGTTAAGTGGTTAATCCCTGGAATAATAATAATTTGAATCTGTTGTCTAACTCTCTAATTGCTTATAAGTGTCAGTGGGAAACATGTTTTCTCTATCTTTCTGCAATGCGTGACTCAATATGTAACAAATTCGTTAAGTTATATAATAACGCATTTATTGCACATATGCAGTATACTAAGCACTGTTCTTAGT